TTTACTTTACTTTTAGGAATACAGCCTGCCCCCTGAGATATTTTTATGTATTAAAAGAGAACTCAAGTCCAGAAATTTGGCTATGATTTTTGTCAAGGTTATCCATTGATGCTGAGAGAGGAGAACAGATTTTCATCTTCTTGAGTCATTTACATTTTTTATTTTTTAAGAAGGCAAAAGATGTAGTTCTAATCAGCTATAATTCATTAATAGTAGAATCATCTTATTTAAAGCATATAATTGATAGGTGAGCCCACTGAATGTTATGGGTAAACATTAAAAAATCATGTTAAAGGAAACTCAGAAAAACTGAGACCTAGTCACTGAATTTATTGAGTGACATTGGTTAGTAAAATTACATAGATTTTAAGTGTACTATTCTACAATACATCATCTGTATATTGTATTTTGTGTTCACCACTCAAGTTAAGTCTCCTTGCATCACTATTGACCTGTTTTCCTTCTTCTACACCCCAAACCCCTTTGCCTCTGGTAATCACCATACTATTGCCTGTATCTATGAGTTTTTCTTTCTTTTTTGCTTAATTCCTTTACCTTTTTCACTAAGCTCCCCCAAACCCATCCCCTCTGATATCTGTCATCCTGCTCTCTATGACCAGACTGTATCTATGAGTCTGTTTGTACTTCGTTTATTTTGTTCATTAGATTCCACATATCAGTGAAATCATATAGTACTTGTCTTTCTCCGACTGGCTTGTTTCACTTTCTTTGCTCTCCTATTTACAAAAGGGAATAGAGTTGGCACTGGAAATCAGCTGGAAGTACTGAGTCTATATTGTGGACAAAATTGTCCAAAATATTTTATGACAGCATTTTTTTTTACTAAAAGAGAGAAATTCTAGCCTTAGCAGTAACCATTGGATTAGCTAAAAGGTGTCCAATCCTCTGGTTAAATATGTATAAAGCAGAATTGAATGTAGAGTCTCTGTCTTTATATTTTCTTTGAGGAGACAAAACTAACTTACATGACAAAGTAAAAAATATTTAAGTGTTAAATTAAATGGCATGGAATTACAGGGTTTAAGACCATCTTATATTTAATAAGGGGGTAGGTCGTTCCTTGGAGGTCAAGGATGTTTTTGAGATGGGTCTATCTGATAACTATGTCATAAACCTTTCCCTGACTTTCAAAACTACTTTTCACACAGAGAGCTTTACATTCAAAGGAAAGAAGAAAACCTAAGTGAACATTTGCCTGTAACTCTGAAACAAGAAGATGTTAGAAGTGAAAAAAATCTCTGATTGTTTTAAATTATTCTGCAGCCACTTTCTCTGTTGAATTGCATTTGAAAAGCTCTGTGAAAGCCCAGTGTGTCCATGAGGAAGGGAGGAAGGTGACAGAAGCAGTTTGTGTGAGGATGCCATCTGACAACACTGCCATCCTTCAACATGGTTTTATTTAGTTATTACAGCTCTCTCTCCGTAAATGACATTTAGGATTATTTAAGATTATGTTGTAATCCTTCTAATCCTTAGTGCTTTAAATTTCAAGCTAAACACCAAACAGCAAACTAGCACTTATCGGGAATGTTTAAAACATGTGATTTGAACATAAATCTTTTTATTCACTCCTTCCCCGATGAAGACCTAGTGTTGCTCTTAACTAAGAAAACCCACACTGCAGTTCATTCCAAATTTCTAGATCACTAAATGTTTTCTCAAGCTACATCAAACTGGTGATGGTCCTTGACAATTACGCTAAATGCACAATTAAACAAAACTTAGCAGCAGAGAACATTTACTAATTTAACTTAGAATTTGTATAACCTTTTATAATGACAAAGTGTCTTTCTGTGTGTATGTGTAGAAATGGTCAGTTTCCCAAGGTCAAGCTATTGGATGTGGGTACATACATATGTACACTGTATATGCATGTACCTATATACGCTTACACTTTTTAAACACATAATATAACTTCTCTGTATATACTTTATTATAGGAGTTTCTAATAATTTTTTAAAATGTATTATTTATTAAGAAGTACCAATTAAGCCAAAGACTGTTCTGTTAATAATACAGACAGATGTTCTTGAACTCAGCCAGAGAACATCATTCTGCTTTACAGAGAGTCGTTGAATACTAAGCCTTAATACTTAATTAATGTTGTCACTATTATGTTACCATGTACCAATCAAATAAGATTGAATCTACATCAAGAGTTGAATAAAACTTTGACTATGAAGGAAATTTGGCTTTTAATACGAAAAGAAAATGAACAACTCAAATGTCCAAATGGCATATTACAAGGGAACAAAACAAATTAAATCTTTCTTTTTTTCTTTTTGTCACAAATGTGTGCATCTGAGTCTTTCAAGCATATTTCAGGCACATAATTTTTTGTTTGTTTTCCTACTCATTTTAAGTTTGACTTCTCTGCAGACACTGTAATTATGTAGCATATAACTGCTAATCCATCAACTTTTTAAAGACAGATTTCAAATTTTTAATTGTTTCTAATTTTTCTCTTCTATGATTTTTTTCTTGAACCAAAAATCTCAATCGCCATTTGCTATCTGTAATCTATAATTCATAGACTAAGATTGAACACCAAGCCTAATTCAAACTAGGGATTCTAAAGCTGTTTCTGACATAGCACATAGGCTGTGATGGACTTTTTCAGACAGGAAGGAACACTTCATTATTCTGTAGGTAATGAAAGCCTTGCACACATGCATTCCAACATCCAACAATGTCTTAATACCATGTTTTTGAAGTATAATCCTGTTTATTCTGATCATTTGAGAGTTAGACCAGCTAATGTAGCTAATCAAATATTGATGCAAGTCAGTTCTCTGGCAAATCTTCCCAATGTTTTTTTTTTTTTTTTCTAACAGAACTATAAAAACTATTTATTCTGTTTCTCTCAAAAGGCTTACTCTCATGGTATGTATCTATAGATATCCATTACTACATGTTACTTAAGCTCATGTGTTTACCTAAACTCATGTGTTTAGGTGATAAAAAGGTTTCAGTATGACAAAAAATAAGTCACATAATTCACCCCCAAAAGAACAAAGCAGAAATAAAATTTGAATCCTTCATTAACTTTGTTAATCACAACATCCTTATAATCAGATCTTGTGTCTCTAAACTAAATGGTTTATGAAACAAAAAGAAAAGATAAACTGGATGTTAGAACAGTGAAGTTCTGGGAACTGTTCAGGTGCCTTACAAATACAGCTAACTGTCAAGACGGTCACCTCCAGAAAGCTACCAAAAGTGAGAACATTTTTAAGTATCTTTACAAGTACCTATATTCACAAATATGAAAAACAAGTGCAACATATGATAGGAGATGGTTAGTCATGTTCAGTTAAAGATTAGGATGATATGTATCATTAATACAGGTGGCTGAAATGTCTATGTTTCCTTTGTTCTTACTTATATAAAATTATACATAAAATTTTTCTTTGATATTTGTGGTTCTACACATATATCATATATATTGACTATCATCCTCATTTTTAATCTAATTTAACTTTTGTAAATTTGATTACAAGAAACTAAAAAGGGCTGCCTTAGCCCAACTCCAAGAATTCTATTGTCCAAGAATTACTTAAATGTCAAATTTTCATGTCTTCATTTTATAACATTGGTGACTAGGATACTGAAGTCACAACATGTAATAAAACTAAATAACTCAGCTCTCACAACCCAGTTCAGAACTAATCGTGAGGCTAGGATTATAACTCCAAACTTTGTTATTTATAGAATAACAAAAATAGTAAGATGATGGGAGATGGAATATATCACTGACCTACAATTTCTCAATTTAACATAAAATGCATTTTTCCTTCTTGATTTTGAAAAATTCACATTCTACTAATTTTTGACTTTTGTTTTATGATTTTTAGGCAAGTATGTTTGGTTTTCTTTTTTTTCTATCTTTTTTTGGGGGGGGATAAAACATTGTATCAAAATGAATTTCTAAACAGAATAATACTAGCTCCAGATAGATAATTTATTCCAAAATATGTTGAAAGTAGTGGTTTTTTTTTTAGTTAACAGGAGTCAAAAGTATTTGGATAAACCTGAAATAATGTCTGAAAAAATGCAGAATGAACTAGAAACCAGTTTTTTTTTTCCCAGTGAGAGTTCAGATAGAAAATGTCACCAACCTATACTTCTGTAAGACCAAGTATATTAATTTCCATGGTGCTGAATTTTCTCCAAGACCCAAAATAATCTTAGAAGATGTTACATATATTAATTATAATAATTAAGTTCCTTGGATACTAAATTATATAAATTATAAAGTAGATCTTTGAAATTATTGATTACTTTAGAATATAAAAGTGAATTAAATATCATTTAACATAGAAAAAGATCAACCTTCATAATCTAGTTATTAATTGCCAAAGGGATTTTAGTAACATCAAATGTTAAATAATAAGTTTTCCCATTTTCTTTTATTTATTTTCAAAAAATTCATCTGGTTCTTCCCATTCAATGAAACCTGATTGAAATTATAAATCACAGTTACTTTCCCCAAAATTAAATTATGCAATATAAAAAAATCCAGTTTTTATAGCTGCTCAGCTCTCTCTACCCACCCCCGAAATCACACTAGTAAGTATAATTTACGACTAGGTGGCAGAAATGGCAATGAATGTAAATAGTTTATCATAATTAGTGAAGACCTACATAAAATCTATTTAAGTCAAGCATTTTAAGTTTGAACCCCAAACAGCTAGTAAATATATTGCAAAATCCAATGACTTCCTGGTATAGAATTAATCAACACACAACATATATTTGTTGTTTATATAGCAGCCAGTCATGAGAGTAAAAGAACAAAGCAACCCAAAATTCGACAAGGAAGAGGTCAGTTTTTCACAATGACTTTTGCACAACTTGATGCCAATGAAAATGTGCATGAACATATGACAAACCATGACAAAATAGTCTTATTTTGAATACTCAAGATACCTCAGATGTAGAGGGAACAGGACCCAACTGACGATAAGTAACAGCCTTACCTGAAAGACATTCTTTCTGCTTGATTTTTCCTTGGCCCACTCAATGTGCGCGCCACACAAATCCACACTTTCTGGTTTGTTCCCAGCTTTCTGTAAAAACAAAAATGAAACAAGAATAAAAAGTATACAACGTTGGTGATATGTGTCAGAAAAATGTTTATTGAGTTAGCAGCTATCCATATTTATAATATTAAGCCTTTCTCTTCCTCTCTTCCTGCCTCCCTGCCTGCCTGCCTTTTCTTTCTTTTCATTTATTTTCTTTTAAAAACATTTCAAGGAGGTGTCTGAACCTTTACATCTTTTGTAATATTATTTACAATAGTCAAAACATTGAAACAACCTAATTGTCTGTCAATGGATGAATAAAGAAAATGTCACACACACACACGCCCTGGAAAAAATTTTCCACCATTAAAAAGAAGGAAATCTTGCCCTATGTGATGACATGGATGAACCTCAAGGGCATTATGCTAAGAGAATTAAATCAGACAGGGCAAGACACATTCTCCATCATCTCACCTGTACTAAACATGTGGAATCCAAAAGGCTGAACTCAAAGAAACAGAGAGCGGCTATCACGCGTGAGTGGGGAACCGGGGAGTTGTTGGTCAGAGGGCTCTCACTGTGAACTGTGAGACAAGTTCTGGGGGTCAAATGTGCAGCATGATGATAAGAGCTGACACTGTTATGTCCATTTGGAAGTGGCTAAGAGGGCGGATAATAATTATGAACATGCTATGCACACACAGGTAGCCATGCGAGGTGTTAGATGTGTTAACCTTAACGTGATGATAGTTTTATAACATATATGGGGTGGGGCAAAGGTAGGTTCACAGTTGCTCGTATGGATACAATAAATAAAATATCAAGGCAAGAATAAACTCTGTTTTGTGTACACAGAACTGTAAAGCTACTTTTGCTACGCCCTCTACATATATCAATTCATACACCTTAAACTTACAGTTTTTTGTCAATTGTACCTCAATAAAGCCAGAAATATAGCAAATTTAATTACTATTTATTAAGTGGCAATTGTGATCTTTTAGAAGTTCACTTTTTAGACTTTTACGACTATACACATGAGTGTATATTTATTTGTATTTAATAAATTTAACTTAGGCCAAGTGGATTTTAGCATATGCTTCCTTTTACACAGCATGGTGTGGATGTTACTTAAACGCTGTTCTTACTTCTTTAATTCATAATACTCAGTGAGAGTATCATCTATACTTGCCTCTTCACATTTTCACTTGGTTTAAGTGAGTCACACTTATATAACTTTACATTTTCATAACTCCAAATATTAGACAAAAGCTTACTAGTTTAGAAAATGACTATCACTTTTTTAAAAAGTTACTATAGTTGAAAGATGCCACTGTTTTCATATGTTCTGAGCTACTCTAAACTTTTCTATATGTTCAGTACTTTTCTCAAACCATTTATTCTAAAATAGAATAAAATTTTAGTATATAAGTCTTAGAATAATTTTATGTAATTTTTAACATATACCCTTTAGGTTAAAACCTAAAACTATCACAGAATGGTAAAAATTTTTTTAAAATCTGTACAATCGTTGCTTTATAGTCACTATGATAAATTCTATCAGTTTAATAGAAATAGACTATTTTTCAGAAGAAGCCAGATATCTGGGCTTTTTTACACTAAATTGCAAAGTTTTGGGGGGAACTCAATAAAGTCATTGCTTTTTGCAGGGGAGACACTATACAAGCCAAGCATAACTTTCCTTCAGAATAAATTCAGCTGGCAGGACAGCTGCTGAGAGCATATCGTTCTTTTGTTATTTGCTAGTAACCCTTTGAGGAACCCATCAAGTTGAGCGTGCCTCTCACAGACACTTTCAGTCACTGAAATGTTTTCACATCCGCACTCTGTCACTCAGGTGGCCACTATTGTGCAAAATATCCACCACGAATATATGATCATTATTGAGTGATTTATGACATAAAAGAAATTACAAAGCACCCTGCTTCTTCTACAGTTAATTAAATTATGGAATACTCAGAACCAACAAAAATAATCATTAAGACTGTGTAACAAAAGAGATTCTCTTTCCCATAGAACGCAGTCATGGAAAACAAAGATGGAATTATTTTGCATAAGAAGCATGTTTTATGTGCCAAGCAGTATGACTGTCAATTCACTTAACTATTTTAACAACTGTATGCTACTATCACCATGCTACAGGTAAGAACATATGCCAGAAGGGTTAGGGAAACTAACATAGGTAGGAAAGGAGGAGCCAGGATTGAAATGTGAGCACTGTCACACCAGAGTCTGCTCCTAACCACTGTGCAGGCCTTGAAAACGGGGTTTACACTAGAAGCATACTTGTTTAAAAACATGTAATATTTTAGAAAAAGATATAACTTTCATGCTGCACTCTAATACAGACATATTTATGTTGTTTCTTCCCTTTCCTCTTAAACTTGATCTTCCCATTGGACTTCACACCGCCTGTTTACCTGTAGTACCTCCCAATTCTCACATGGCTGATTCTTCTCCCTCAGACCCCAACTAATTGTCACCTTGTCAGAGGTCTTCCCCAGCTGTCTCAGGTAGACTAGTGTCATTTCAGCACTCCTGATTACCCTTTTTAGATCCAAAGATAAGAATTCACATTTTCTATTTCCCCTTTGTGTCTCCATTTCCCATTTTTCCTCTTGGTTCCCAGAATGCTGGACATGGAGCTGTGACTCTGACCCGCCTGCCTGAGGAGCTCCCATGCCTGGGGTGACAGTGGCCTGTAGAAGCACTGAAGGAACCTGGCCTGTCGGAGCCAGACAAGTGCATCAGCAACCATGACGTGTCCTGTTCTGCCTCAGAGGAAGCAATGTACCTTCTCCCGCCCATGGCTTGCTCTTTCTAGTTCCTAACGCCATCCCATCTCATTCCTCATTCTCTGAGTTATATTCACCTATATGCTCCTGTATTCCCAACATCCTACTCTAAACAGATCATACCCTTTAGCCCAGTGGTTTCAACCCTTTGCATCTGATGGCACACATACATCAATTACTAAAAGTGTGCTGCATGCCAGAAAATATATTTTTGTCAATCTGACAAAATGAATAAGTATAATTTTGGTTTTTCCACATAGGAGGGCTATTGTTATGTTAGCTGTTGTCATTTGTATTATTTGAAAATCTCAGGGAAAAGAGGTCAGTGCCCCTGACGAAATAGTCAGGTATTACGTGTTTTAAAAATTATTGTGTCACACCACTTGAAAATTGCTGCTTTAGCCTATAACCATATTCAGATCTCTCTTATTAAAAATATAAAGAAAGCAAGCATCAACCCCATAATGTCACTTTTGTATATCTCATTTGTTTATTTCCTTTCCATTATTGCAAGAATTCTTCAGAGTTCTCGGCATTCACATTCTCTGCTCATATTCCATTCTTTTCTCAACCTACTACAGTCTTTTACTCCTATTCTTGGCTAATCTAAAATACTTTAAATACTAAGGTCAAAAAAACAATCTGCTGCCTTCTCTCCCACTGACACTGTACTTGAATTCTCTGCTAATATGTTTTGCTGCCCTGCTTCTTAACACCCTTTGTCCCTCAGCTGTCAGACATTTTCTCTCCAAATTCTTCTTTCACCCTCCAAACTTTTTATTCTGTTTTTTCCTTACTGAATTCTCTTCCTTTTGCCATGTAAATGTTGATAATCTCTGGTTTACTGTCTGTCCTCGGCTTTCATTATTCCTCATAGTTTACACACTTCTGGATTTTAAACTTGCCTCTCATTCATTACTTACAATACATTTACTCCTCAATGGTTCCTCTGACCCTCAGCTTCCTCTTAGTGACAGAACTGTATTTCCTAACTAAGTACTATGAGAATTAATAAACAGAAACTTCATTTAAAGTGGAGTCAGGAGGCAAGAAGAGAGAACTCTCACACACATATCACTCATTGCACGTGACCAATCCCAACAAGAAGGGACTTATCTTGCATCTTTGAAGTGACACTTCACTACCTCAGCAGGAGAAAGAAAAGATTTTTTCTTGCCCAGTACCAGTGTAGGCAATGCAAAGTCACTACCTTACCATTTGCAACAGCATGGATGGACCTAGAATATGTATGGATTATGCAAAGTGAAATAAGTTAGAGAAAAACAAATACCATATGATTTCATGTACATGTGGAATCTAAAGAACAAAATAAATGAGCAAACAAAACAGAAGCAGACTCACAGATACAGAGAACAAACTGAGGGTAGTCCAATGGGAGGAAAGCTTGAAGGGCTGGGTGGAAAAGGTGAAAGGATTGAGAAGTACAAACTGGCGGTTACAAAATGGTCATGGGGATGTAAAGTGCAGCATGGGGATATAGTCATATTTATGTTGTTTCTGTAATAACTATATGTTGATACTGTAATAACTATGTATGGTGTCAGCTGGGTGCCAGAACCGTCAGGGGGACCGCCTCGTATTTTACATATTTGTCTGAGCACGATGCTGTACCATTAGGATATAGACACCTCAGTAAAATCACTGTCTTCTTATCAGTCGCTTTCCCCTTTTTCTCTATTCTTCGTCTTGGTTAATTATTCCTGTATTGGTTTCACCTTCATCACTTTCTTAATCATCCCCTTTCTCTTACCACTTGCTACTAAAAGGTACACACACAGCTGGAATTCCAGAACTGTCTCTTCTTCTTTATCTTGTGACCACAACCTCATTTGAGCTCTTCTTTTCTCTCCTTGTTGGTCCCTCTGAGACCAGTCTATTTTTCCCTAAAACACACATCTTGCCATATTTCTTCTGAAAAACTTACTATCTACAGGATAATGTATAAATCCCTTAGCTGGGAACACAGGCACCTTTTCACAATCCCCCCAACACTCTTCCCTAGTGTGTCCATTGCCCCATTCTTCTACACACTGGCTCTGCTAGACTGATGGCGATTTCCAAACCGTAGCACACTTTCACTACTTCATACATGGTGATATAGGTGTGCACGCACAACTTTTTTCTGGAACACACTTATCTTCCATCCACTTTCCTTGCCTGCCATTTGTGCCACCCCTGCTGGTTTTCATAATGTAACTCTGAAGTAATCTC